CCCCCCGCCCTTTTGGATTAGATTATTTGCATATTGAATGTACATTCTGTTAAATTTACAATGCGAAGTCTTACATAGACCTTAGAATGGACTCTTCTTAGTGGCTAGCTAATGGTGGCTTTTAAAATATAAATGGTCTTACATCTCCTATTGTTGATGTTTAGTCTTCCAACTCTGACACAAATGTAAAGTTTCTTTTTAGATTTAGTGATGGTTGAACTGGTCACAGTGTGCCTCCATTAAATGTTTTAAAATAAAGTAAAAATACAGGTCAGAGAAGAGTTCTGAGAATATTTATAAACTGGTAATTGTTCCATTATCATTACTGTTCTAATATATAACAAAAGCTTGGCCCTAAGTGTGTTTAAGCATGAAACACCTTCTAATGTACTGCCTATTTTTGTGCCTCAATAAGCAAAAAATACCCAGGTTTGGGTACAATTCATGATGGAGTCCGTGTAATCTCAAAAATAGGATGTAGGCCATCAGGTGGCATGGCGGTTAAGGTGCCGGACTCACACATGGTTGACTACAGTTCAAGTCCCACACCTGACAGCTTGAAAATCATTCTGGTTGTGTGTGTGCGTGTATATGTGTCCTTGCCCAAAATCCCTGGAGGAGAAAGGATTGTGGCATGGCCATCCTCCTGGAGGATGATTTCTCACTTTCCCTCTTGAGGTCTCTGTCTCTCACCAGCAAGCACACATGTCCTATGGCAAAGACTTAAAAAAATAAACAAATACAAAATGAAGTGGTATATGGAAATATCTTTCTAGGTTGGGTAGACAGAAGGCAGTTAGAGTAATGTGTCACTTCCTTCCTCAATTTAGAGAGTAGAATGACTTAGAGCAATCTGTCAATCTGCTAGTCTTTTTTTTTTTCTTTTTTTGGAGAGGTTTTTGCTATAGAGCGCGTGTACTCTCCAGACAGAGAGAGACAGAGAGACAGAAAGCAAGAAATCACCCCCCCAGGGGGATGGCCACACCGCAATTCCTTCTCTTCCGTTCTCCTCTTGGGATCTTAGGCACGCACACACATGCGCCTCAATCTGCTAGTCTTTTGACTAATAAACCAAACTGTCTCCCTGCCTTTATCCTGCATGTTTTAGCCAGATAATCCGCTGCCTACAAGACCGCTAATAAAGTCCACCTCTCAGAAAACAGATAATAGTTTCTACTTAACTAAAATTCCGTAGATTCTAGGACCAGCAGATGGCATAATGGCTACACCGCTGGACTCCTTTGTAGTTGACCCTGGATCAAGTCTCGGACTGGTAGCTTAAACTCACTCTGGGCACGTGTGCATGAGTGCCCAAGATCCCAAGAGGAGAATGGAGGAGAAGGGATTGTGGTGTGGCCATCCCCCCGGAGGGTGATTTCTCACTTTCTGTCTCTCTGTCTCTCTCTGTCTTTCTGGTGAGCGCATACGCCCTATAGCAAAAACTCTCCAAAAAAAAAAAAAAATCCTTAGATTCTACCCTTTGTCTTCTGAGCCCAAACTGCTTTCATAGTCTTATCTCTCCATTTCTATTTTAGAAATGTATTGCAGCCAAATGCTTGATCTGTTTCCCCAAAGCAATTCTTAAATTTTCTCATCTCTAGTACGTTTGCTTATATTGAAGCATTGTATCTGATTCCAACTTGACAAAAACCCTTTGTTCTGCAATAATATACTTGTATCATCAGTGTTTCCTTGATGATTTGTAGAAAATGATTTTTTTCTTTTTGCCTATTGTAAGGATTCTCAAACTAGTTATTTGTCTCCCAAACAGAGCTATTTATTAATACATATTTTCAATGATAAACTTTTGGAAGAGAGAGTATGTCTAGTTGATACTATTCATCAGTGAATAGAGATAATATCACTTCACAGGATTATTGTGAGGATTTAGTGCCTGGAGTTTAGAGGCATTTCATAGCTAAGGCAAACGAATGAATTAATGTTGATTCTCTTTTTCTTTCTCCTTTGTATACCCCAGGACTTATAATGGTACTGAACATTTACTTAAGAACAAGTTAACACATGCATCACAAATTAACTTTTGCCCCATCTCATGTGTATGATGAACAAAAAAAAAACCTTAGAAATTAATTATAATTACATACCAGCTACTAGTATTTATTTTATTTCATTTTTTGCTTCCTTCTATATTATTAAGTTCTTACTATCTTCAGTTGCCCTAAACCTCTGTGTTCATCAAGTTCAAGATTATCAATTACTTTTGTTTGCTTTTTTATTATTTTTTATTATGAATTATAATATAAAAATTGTAAAAATAATACAATAAATGTCATTTGCCACCTATATTGTGTATGTGTAGATATGTATGTGTGTGTGTATGTATGTATGTGTGTATATATATATGTGTGTATATATATATATTCACCACCTATATTGACTTTGCTATATGGGTCCCTGTACGCTCCCTCTCTTCTTCTATATACACACATATGCACACATGGTGGCTCAGTGGTCAGGTGGGGATACTGGTGGGGGTATCTGTCTGCCTGTCTCTCTCAGGGAAGAAATAAACTTTAAACAAATAGAAAAGAAGTTGCAGACACCATGGCAAGTATCCGTACCTCAATAGTTTGGCATGTATCATCTAAAAATAAGAATACTATTCCACATAGTCAGATTATCATATATACAATATTGGCAGTAACTCTGTAATACTCACCTAATATTCAGTTCATATACAACATTAGCCAGTTGTCCAACAAAAGGCCTTCATTGTTTCTTTTCCTCAACCCAAGATTTAATCAAGATTCATACAGTACATTTGGTTATATCTCTTTTGTTTCTTTTACTCACTCTACCTTTTTCTGAAAAATTCCTTGTCATCAATGCCTTAGAGAGTATAGAATTTTAAAAATATCCTTGGGACAAGCAGATGGCGTAGCAGTTATGTCGCTGGACTCCCACATGGCTGACCACAGTTTGAGTCCCGGGCTCAGTGGCTTCAAACTCATGCTGGGGATGTGTACGTTCATACTCCAGATCCCAAGAAGAGACTGAAGGAGAAGGGATTGCGGCATGATTGTCCCCACGTAGGGGATGATTCCTTGCTTTCTGTCTCTCTGTCTCACTCTTTCTCTCGGGCGAGCACATGTGCCCAATAGCAAAAATCTCTCTTAAAAAAATCCTTTAAAAATGCCCAGAATTCTGCATTTCTGTTTCCTTGTATCATTGAATTTTTTCTTATATTTTCTGCTTATGCTGTGACTAGAATTTGGGTCTAAAGGCTTTATCAGATCAGGTTAAACATTTTTTTTTTCAAGAATTTTTCTAGGTGTGCTTATATACTGTATATGCTCCCCATTTATACAGTACATCTGATTTTACCTTCCTGAGTGATGCTGAGTTTGATCCATTAGGTTAGATGCTACTTGCCAGCTTTTTCCTTTGTGATAGGATTGCTTTTCTTTTGCAATTTATAAGGATTCTGTGGGGTATTGAGATTGGGTGAATATTCTGCTATCTAATAAGCTTTAATTTAATGGCTTTATCACCCGTTTATAATCCTTGCCTAAATCAGTTATTATAAGGTAGCTTTTAAAACAGAGATTATCTAATTCTATTATTCGTCTTATACTTATTGGCTGATTATCTTTTGTAAAGGAAGGTGTTTCTATTCTCTC